ATTATTTTAATTGTGAGAGGCTCCCTTGTGGGACGCCTATGTACGGCGATTACGGCGCGGCGGAAACAATACCTACCTGTGAAAAGACAAATTCGGGTAATTTGAGCTTATTTTTCCACATATTTGACACTGTCGTACCATATTGAAAATTCGCAGATTCAAAAGTACGTTAAACAAAAGCAAAAACTACTGAAAAACACTGAAAAGTTCACTTCGGACTTGATTCCGACTTCAAACACACCGTAAGCTAAACGTAGTACGCTATAACGGACCAAGGGCCGTGGCGAGGGGTGGTGGGACGGACGGCTCATTTCATTCTGGAAGACTAGCAGCGACGTTGCCAATAGTTCTAGACGTTTCAGCACATTAAACAGTAAACATGTCCTTTAATAGTAACGCATATATCCTCTGGTTAATAACATATTATTACGCATGCTTCTTTAAAATAAACTATTAATTTAATTAAGAAATTGAGATTTATTGATATCCGGTGAAGGTTTAAAGTCACCTTTTCTGCAAATCAAACTAAGTAGATAGGCGCAAATTTGAGACGTGGCAATGTCGCCTTCTCTATCTCAGTTGGTTTTTACAGTACGTAGTCAACCTCCGATTGTTTGATCGGGTTAAAATGCACAATGTGATATCTGTTCTTCCTAAATCTATGGGCACGGCATATAAATCACACGGCAGGCCAACTCGCTTTGGCGGGAACGCTACGCGCATACCCTTGCGCACGCCGCCATTATGGGTGCCAGCGACAGAAATTAACCAGTGTCGTAGTCAGTCGTAGTCTTTGTCATCGATAACGTACAGTTACGGCAGCTTTGAGTCAGTAGCGTGCGGCTTAATTTATTTTATTCTTTTCTTGAGTGATATATTTTGTTTTTTTTTAGTTTTATTTTTGTTTATTGTGTTATATATTTGGTTTTTGTAGTTTATTAGTACAATGGAAGTCCGAAATTCTTTTAGTTTTAATACTCAGTCATTGTCTACGGCATTCAAAAGTAATTTTATTATTATGTATCCTGCAAAATGACAAACAAGATTAATTTCTAAATTACTGTTTTCTGATTATCCGTATCTATTTTTAATTTTTTTATGGATAGCTCATGACAATTCAGAGAGAAAAGAAAAAGAGGTCTCGTTTTTTATTAATTATTAAGGTCTGCTGTTTTAATAAGATGTTTGCCAGATCATTTTGGCAATTTTCAGTACCCGTATGTAATATTTGGACACAAAGTTTTTAAATGTTCTTCTAAACTGGATGAATTTATCCTAGATGGGAATAATGACAGGTTTACAAGATATTGGAATTAGAAGAGTTACAAGATAAAGTTGTACCAGATTTTTATGAGTGCAACTGTACACTCAAATCGCTTGTCGCTAAGCTTTTATATAATATAAAATTGTGTAATGACATAATAAAAGTTTTAAAGAAAAAGCTTATTTTTTCATTTTAATGTATTTAAATAAAAGCTTGTTTTTAAAAAGTTTTTTTTCTTAAATTTATTTTTTACTTTTTAAGTTATGCTGGTTTCTCAGTGTCACACACTTAAACTCAATTCTTTTTCTTAAATAACTACCTATGGGCATCCTAATTATATGTGTATCGATTTTCATAAAAAAGGAGAACTTAAAAAACCGACAGCTGTCAAATTTGACAGTTCAATTGTGAGACAAATAAAATGAAAACCGACTATGGGGTAGGGAGCATCCAATATATCGATTTTTATCAAAATCAGACAAGTTTGACAGCTCAATTTTTTTGTCAGCTCAATTTCTTTTCTTTCCTTTTAACCCATGGCTATCCTATATATAGATTTTTATCAAAATCGGACAACATTGAAATTTTTTTGACAGCTGTTAAATTTGACAGCTCAATTTTTTTTCTTTCATTTTAGCCCATGGCCATCCTATATATCGATTTTTATAAAAATCGGACAACTTTGAAGTTTTTTTGACAGCTGTCAAATTTGACGGCTCAAATTTTTTTTGACGGCTTGGCTTTTAAAAATATAGCTAAACATTTATATTTAAAGTCATCAGTTACTTTTCTTCCTTAAGCTGATTTGTTAATTTGTGCAATTTGAATATTAACAAAATTTGCTATGTCCATTGATGGACATAATTTGTACGTAGCCTCTTTAGATTGTTCAATAGATAATTTATTGGGTATTTCTTTAATTCTTGTTTGTAACTCCTGGACTCCTGGCATGTGTTTTAATTTTAATTGTCTATTCTCTAAAGTTAAATGTTTAATTGATTTTTCATTTTTACTTTTGAGGGAGTATGCGCGGTTAACGATTCATTTGTTTAGATAAAAGTATTGTGTAAATAAAATTCAGTTTCAGTCAAATACAGTATTTTTTTAATACGACCCTGTCTAGCAATAGTTTATTTTCTGGGAAATTTTTTGATACGTTTTAATCCGGCCCTGACTCGGCACCCATAATGGTGTTTTCAAGGTCAAATTTTATAGAAATTTTAAACAATCGGATCTGGGCAGAGTTAGCCTGCCGTGTGATTTATATGCCGTGGTTCAGGTGTACTTGAGAAACGAAAGACAGTGTTGTGTTTCTCGGCAGAGTCGTCAGGGAACGACCGTTACGACAGAGACAACCGATCTATCGCTCGTGTCGCACTCGTTATAACCTAAAACAATAACAAGACATTGTCTGACCGCATGTTCCAGCTATTTATGAATGAGATGCTCAGTCTATATTTTATTTTAAGTCTATGATTATAACCTTTTTAGGACTGCGAGAAAAAAAGATAGTCAATTAATCAAAAGTAATAAAAACTCTTAAACTAATAGATTATAATATTTATACATATACAGTCAGTATCTACGGTAAAATACCTTTTAACGGACACCTTTTTAGGAAACAATTTCAGCGTTACCAAATACTAAACTAACGATTTCCTAATCTGCTATACAGGGTGTAAATTAATAAGCACAAAAAAATCTGTAAGCTTTTCTAAAATTAAATTGATTTTTGATTTAAAATTTTACCACTGAGTGTTTATCTATTTTTGTTTTGTAAAAGATGGCTACACTTTAAAGTTTATATTTGGTAAGTGGTAAGTAGATGGCATAAATCAAGTCGCATTTATATAAATATACAGTAGGATGTCCCCGGATTGTCTTTACAAGAGCAAAAACTTTTATATTATTAACTTTTTGCGTAAAATGTATTTTTCATAAAAATATTTACTTGTTCCAAAATAGTTAATCCTGTTTATACATTTCCAATTTAATAAACCATCTTAGAAAAAAAACAAAAAAATTGGCGCCGGGAGGCACGTATAACCGCCCATACTAAAATATGTTCTTTTAGTTTCAAAGTAAAGGAATTTTTCCAATTTTTTTTATCTCAAAAACTGCGACTTTGACTGATTTTGATGTTATTACAAATTTTGTTGCAAATATTATTCCTAATCTTAAATTGAAAACCGCGTTTCGCTAGCTACTGTAATTTTGAAGTTACGATTTTTTAAAATTTTAACCCCCTTCCATACGCCCTTACCAACCTCCCACCCCCACCAAAAACTAATGATTAGATTCTCGGGTGCCACGGTATTTTTGTGCCAAATTTGGTTAAAATCGGTTTAGCGGTTTTTGAGTTATCGTGTTACAGACGGACAGACACAAGATTTTTCCCAACAAAGAATCAGACAAAATAAATCAAAACGAGTTTCTATGGTATCTATGGTAATATGATTTTCATTCTTTGATAGATGTTTAATATCAATTTTTGTTAAGGTTATATTTTTTGGTAATAATCTGACGTGAGATCTTTTTGTATTTTGAGAATAAATTCGTTGGATTTATTTAAAAACAATTTGCTTTATTATTTTTATTAAGACTAGTATTTGAGACTGTTTAAATAGTAATTTAAATTATAGTGAATGAATAAGGAATATACGGAGTTCTGCAATACTACTTAAAAGGCAACTACTAAAATTAATAGGGAACATCATTCTAATTCAGTCAATGGTGAGTAGTGCACGGTCCCAAATATACTCAGTTGATACTAACAAATCCGTGTGATTTTCAGTAAAATAATCTGCTTCTTCGCCTTCGCTCTGATTTAGCCACTCTCAAACCGTTGTTCCTTGCGCACAGAAGTTCAGTAACTCGTCTTGTAAAATTTTAACTTCGCGCCATAAGTTTTCCACCAATAAAGAATCGGAGACCACATTTTCGATATATCAACTCAATACACGGAAAAAAATCATTTCTATATTCAAGAACAATCATACACTTAAAATTTTACACTTTCTTTAAGGATGTATTCTTTCCATGAGTACAACAAATATTTGGAACTATTTTACTTTTACACTTGCTTTTTAAATATAGTTATAGTCACTTTAAGTAATTTTGAATCTAAAAAAAAAAGAATAAAATGACTTATATTTAAGAAAAACTTATATTACTATCAAGTGAATAATCCTTTAGCAACGAAGAAACTATTATTAAATGAAGTATAAATGCTTTTATATAATAATAAGTAGTATTCCTAACTTTTTTAAAACTTTTACTTAAAATCGGTGTATTAAGACTTTAAATAAGTATATTATTCTCGGCGCGAGAATAACACCCCATTTCCAAGAGTTACTATTCTTATATTAAGTGACCATCCCCCCATCTATTAAAACACTGAGATAACGTAAAGGTAAATGATGCAAATAATTATTTTAAGGATAGAATCGTTAAAATAGTTCTTGTTATGTTTGTGTTTTCAGTATCTATTTTAAGGGGAGTGAATTTAATGTTCTAAAACCATGAGACCTCGAAAAAAAAATAGGTTATACTAAAAAATATTTTAAAATTCAACCAAAAAAAGGAGCCAAAGTCTTATTAAGTCGTATTTACGCAAATATGACTTCAATATTGTACATTAAACTGGATTCAGACTAAAGTGATTCTTTATTATCCTCCGAACATAATCGAAGTAGTAGTATCTCTGGTAGTATCATTGAAGATTTCTGTTCTAATAAGCGTAGTTCCAGTGCTGAAATTTCCTACAATATAGTATTTATATAGGTATTTATGTAGGCTCTTCTATAATCATTTATTGTGTATTTTTTAAGAGAAAGGTATTTTTTAGAATTATTAGGTTCGAGAATTATCTAGACTTGGTGGTTCAGGAGTAGCACAAAGTACAAGGAAAGTGCTTTATAAGGTTCTGGGCAATGAAATTGCACAAAAATATTCTTGGGATGGGGCCAAACTGAAGAGAAGTTTGAAATCATTGTTAGTGGCCAAAAGCAATTTTAGGTATCTGAACTTAAAGATATTTGGTGTTGCAAAGACTGTAATAACATATATTTTAGACTCCATGAAAGGTCAATTTCAAGAGTCAAAAGAAACCGAAATTATCAATATAATTAAAATATGGCTTGTAAAAACAAAGAAAGATTAAAAAATACAAAGGTAAGTTGTGCAAATTTATTTGAACAGTATAATTTTTTGCTGATATTATTTCAGAAGGGTAGACAAGAGAATATAGAAACATAGACATAGAAGATAATATCAATGTATATTGTTATATTAAAATATTTTTAATTAATAAACATATATTACTCAAGTTCGTCTTTATCCTTACTTATTATTTTTAACCCTTCTATTTATTAGTTAATTTTTGATTATTACACACCAAATTATTTAATTTCAGCAAATTGTTTGTAGTGTGTCCCCGATATGAATATACTGTATAGGTATCCTATAGATTTTAAGAGATAAAAAAATTGCTAAATATGAAAAAAATTGTATCTATATAGGATATTGGTACAGTGCATCCTTATACAGAACATCCTGTAGATACAGAGTTGAGGGTTGGAATCTTTGGTGTTACAACAGCAAAATAAAACACTAATTCACCACAATATACCAAAACACTTTACTTTTGAACTGGACGCTTGTTTGGTTAATCATGTTAGCGTCATCAGCAGATGATTAAAACTTAAATTTTGACCATCTGCGATGATGACAATCTTTATGGTTAAGCGAAACGCGCGTACTGTGCAAAATAAAGTGTTTTGGTATATTGTGGTAAATAGTGTTTTTATTTGACCTCTAGAAGTTAATAAAAAATATGAAAAACATATGAAAAGCATAAATATAGAATATTAAAAACATGAATATCATATAATTGGAATATTATTTTTAAATACATTCTTTTACGAACATATAATTCACGTTCATACAATATATCTTGGAATGTGAAACGCACTTCTATATCACTTGAATAGGGTGGAACGTAATCTCTGCTATTCATGTGCCATATATGTTCCCAATGAAAAAAAGGAATGTGAACAGAACATTGTTGTTCTCCAAAGTCACTTGTTTCGCATATGAAAAGAACGTAAATGTGCTATCTGGGTAAAAGACAGGATTTTCTACACTCATGACTTGAGCAATAATAATACCCACCATGTTACATGGAAGCGAAACCTGGAAATAATAGAATGCATTTGGAGAAGAATAGTGAACTCAGTTAACAATTACAACCAAAAAATAAAGAGGCAACAAAGTAATGAGATTTTTGAATGTCCGGATTGCGAAGAGAGATAATATCACGTATCGGGGGCTTTTCAGTCACAGAAATGCTCATGAAACAAAACGCCTTGCGTAACCATCTTCTGATGCGTGTAAAATACTCGTCAGCGAGTAATGGCAGTAAGAAAGTATTTTTTTTTCCGAAGAATATTACATGATAATTGCCGAAACTCCCTTTCTCCCCTCATTTTTAGTGAGATTCTACTTGATCCACTCGAAACAATTCGAAACATAAGGTCGTATTTCGTCGCCCAACTTTGACGCATTTCGACTTATTTCCAGTTGTCTTGAACCACTTCGGTTTGTCTCGACCTACATTCAATTCTTAAACAGCCGCTACACTATCACCGAAATGTTTTACGAAATAGTTCTGGAAATATTTCATGAAACATTTGGCAAAACATTTCTGAAAATAGTACGAGGCAATCAAGGTCAAACGTTGTTTCGGCTTCAGAAATATAAGTAAACCTGGTAAAACTGATATAAAAACAGTTACCGATGGTAAATTAAATTGACTATTCTTCGAAGGTTACACAAGAAAATTTCGTTTTAATCATTGTCTAATATTTATTATTAATTACAATATAGTAAAAAACATATAAAACAGTGACTAACTAGCGGTCTATCATTTATCGGCTTATAATCCACGGTTTGGTTTGGTTTGGTTTTGGTTTGGTTTGCGCCTAATGAACAAAATAGACACAAAATTATTTAAAAAATCGTCTAATTATTTATTATTTATGGTTATGGTAAAGTAACATTTATACTGTTGTCTATAGCAAAGTTTAGTGTACGAATTTGGTTTTGTTTTTCTAGTTTTAATTGTCTAAATCCCCTGCATAATAAATATTAATTGAATGGATTTATATCAAACCATCCTGTGTGCTAATAAAAGTCTCGTTTGCAGATTTTTCTTAAGAACAATAAAAAAACATTGTCTTTAAATAATGTGCGTGAACCATACTTTTGTTGACATCGGGTCAATTAATAATTTTCACAAGCGGATATATTGATAAAGTTACCGCACTATCACTCATCAAGCAATACTACTGTTATATTAATCAATTAAAGCCGTAAACAAACATATCATATACAATTTTATAAAGTAAAGTAAAGATTTCAGTTAAGGTCTCCTTTTTGCTGCCAGGGCTAATCCGGACCGGGCCTACTTTGTTTACGGGGAATCCGAACCGTGGTCCTCGGCCATATCATGGTCAATGGCCTACTGACTTGGCAAGTGTCTAAATCGACTCTTACTGACGAGATATCCGATCTCATCCGGCCTCGAACCGGCGCACAGTGTTTTGAAGTATAGGGGAAAGTGGACAAAAATGGAAAACTCGAATTTCACCGCCAGAAAATGTATTTACTTACATTACTAATACAAGATAACATAATATTTTATATTTTAAACTAATTTTTATGATATAAAAATAAACTAAAAATATTTTTGGCAAAAAAAAATTAATAATAATTTTTATAAATATAGAAAAACTCTCCTGCAGCCCAAAGGGTAATTATTTCTCATTATTAGTAAATAACAAATTATAAACAAAACGTTCTCCAACCCAGTGTGAGTACATATCAAAGTAAAACCTCTGACGAGGGGTGGGGGACAAAAAACTCTCTCATCTCTTTTTTAAGATGTTTATTTAAATTTAATTTGCTTCAAAAAAAGAAAGGGGGGGGGACATGTTTCGGGACTTAACAATTCCCATCTTCAGGCCCAAGAAAGCTAAAATAATTACAATCAGAATAATAAGCAAATTCCAATAGTCATCCAGAGATCAAAAAATATAATATACAATCACAAAACAAATTAAAAGGTTAAAAAACTTTTTTAACCTTTTAATTTTTTCAAAAAAGGTTAAAAAGTCTATCACAATTATTCAATCACAGATAATATTATGGCAAGCTCAGTTTGAAAATTAAAACAATAATTAAATTAAAATCATAAAGGGCAATAATTTAAGTTCAACAATAAACGAAAAAACGAAAAAACTTCATGAACTTTCTCACCTGGAAACGACTGTCTTGTAAAAACGATTCAATTTCTTCAGAACAATCTTCTAAATGTAAACATAACTTAATTTTTTCACAAATTTTTGCCACTCTTTCACTTTTGGCATTATTATAGCATTATTCAAAAATATCTTTTATTTTAAGTACTGGACATTCTCCTAAAAAAAATCGAAAACTTAAAATATCGCAGTTTTCCGCAGAAACTGAAATAATGGTTTTAAAGTACAATACTTGGGACAACATTACAAGAAAAATCTCGTCTACCATTTTTTACCATTTTTTTAAAACCTTAAATAAAATTACACTACTAATTTTCATTCAGACTCGATTTGACTTTTTGTAATGGCCATGTATATAAAAGCAATGATCGAATTTAACAACAATGTCCTTACTATAAGTGTGCGAACACAGTGCAAGCAGGTTTGCCGCTTACTGGTAGTCAGCGCCAATCTGGGTACCTATTCTTGACATCATTCGCAACTTTGAGTATACGCATCACGTGTATTGTTATAAACAGGGTATCCCAGAAATAAGTGCAAGTATTTTAAAGGGTGGTAGATCTCGATAAAAGAAACATATTTTCTCTTTATCGTTTTTCAAATAAATCCAAAATAATGGAGTTATTTTACTTTGAAAATTTCCAAAAAAAAATTATTTTTTGCTAAAATTTTGAGAACCTTCTTCTTCATGTGCCTTCTCCTCATCGGAGGTTGGCGACCATCAATTGGATTTCCTCCCTTTCTTGAGCCAAACGGATAATTGCACTGGCACTGGCGCAAATTCCGCAACCAGGAAAACCGTTTACTCCCGATGCCTCGTCGTCCTTCAATCTTTCCCTCAACGATCAGCTGTAGGAAACTATATTTGTTATTTCGAAAAGTATGACCAAAATATGCTGCTTTCCGTCGTTTTATTGTAGTCAATAGTTCTTGGTCCTTACACATTCTTTCCAATACTTCGAGATTTGTTTGAGAACCACTGGATCTTTTCTGGATTTTCTTTCTTGTAAATTTAATCTACTACCTATGTTGCCATATTATCAAGAAATTATTTTTTTTTAAATAAAAACTAAAAAAAAATTGCAAAAAAATTCCAAAAATATTTTCAAAAAATTCCGAATTTTCAAAAAAAAATTATTTAGAAAAAAAACTCATAGGCGTGTTTCTGGGGTTGAACTATACTACCAGTTAAGTTAAAATACTAGCACTTATTTCTGGGACACCCTGTATATGGTTACATAGTAGCGCCGCGCCGCCTCGCGCTTATAACCTTGAAAAATTAAAGCGTGTTATCAAATCGGCTAGTTCACAGTGAAAGCAGGCAGGCACCGTCAACCAGCGTTCATCGGCGTTCTCGCTTTTACCGGAACGAAAATTTATTTATTTCTGCTTTTGCACGCGCCGACAGCGCACAGGGGGTATTAAGAACTAAAAGTTGGCCAAAATTATGTTTTATGATTTTTTTGCTTTTTTGCTAGTAATATTAATTATTAGAGGAGAGGGTGCTAATATGGAACCCCATTTTGTTTTTCCTACATAATATTTTTTCCTCTACTCTGAAACTGGCGAAAAAAGGCATGTCTCAGCTTTGTTCCAGCGTTCATTTTCCTATAATGCGGTCCGAGTTTACAATGATATTTCCAACGATATCGGACACTCTTCTTGCATTCAGTCTTTTAACTGTGCTTTTAAAAAGAGAGTGAAGGACTATGTGATGGGAGATCGTGTGTTGAAAGACTAATATTTAAACTTATATCCAATTTTTTTTCTCACTTCTTTCATATTACCTTATTTTTTATATATATTTTGTAATTAATTATTGAATAATGTAGG